ATACCAAAGGATACAATTAAAAAAATGAACACATATGAAAAGGACAAATCAAATCAAATCAAAATAGTTGTCCTTTTCATATGTGTTCATTTTTTTAATTGTATCCTTTGGTATATATGGTTGTGACTATTTTCTTCCACTATTTGATCTGAGGAAGTGGGTCTGGCCCACGAAAGCTCATCTAATAAACCATCTTGTTAGTCTTTAAAGTGCTACATTGTCCTGCATTTTGCTTCAGCTATCCCAGACTAACACGGCTACATTTCTATCAGGGTTCTGAAAGTGGGGCACACGGGGTGTTATGTTTTGGGGCATGTCTACACTGCATGGCTAGTTCAGGATACTGGAGGTAACCCGAAATAGCTACCCTGTGTCTACTCAAGCCTCCTGTTATTTTGAAATATTTTTCAAAATAACAGGCGTGCTATTTCGCCAACCCGGTAAACCTCATTGCACAAGGGATAAGGAATGGCTCCAAATAGCACGTTATTTCGAAGTTTGGCATTGTGTAGACATGTCAAATTTCAAAATAAGCAATTTCGAGTTTAGGGTGCTGTGTAGATGCACCCTTACATATTTAATAGCAAAGAGCACGTCTACACGGCAGGGCTAAAGTCAAATTCCGCTGCACAACTTCAGCTATGTCATTTGCGCAGCTGAAGTCAAAATAGCTTAATTCAGCTTTTGAGGCTCTTTACACAGCAGGAAGTCGAAGGAAAAACACTCTTCCTCTGACTTCCCTTACTCCTCGTGAAATGAGGGTTACAGAACTCGGAGTAAGAAGTCCTCCAGCTCGACATTATTTTGAAATAATGGCTTGGTATGTAGACGTGCATTTTGTTATTTTGAAATAACATCAGTTATTCCAAAATAACATTGCTGTGTAGACGTACCCTTAGGGTGCGTCTACACAGCACTCTTAGATCAAAATGAGCTACGCAATTTGCACTACGCAATGAGTTTACAGGGATGTCGGAATAGTGAGCCTATTATACGATATAACAGGCTTCCTCTTAAGATGTGGACTAGCTATTTTGGGATACCTCTGGTATCCCGAAATAGCTCTGCAGTGTAGACGTAGCTTTACTGACTATGTCTTCTGTGATAGGAAACATTGTATTTTATTCCAACTAGCTATAGTCTTTGTTTTACTGTGTTTTATTCGGTCTAATGACACTACTTAATTCTCCTTTTGTGAATAGTTTCTGGTGCTCATTTTCATTTACTAGCATAGCAGGCCCTAACCCAGAAATAAGCAATCCAGACTAGTGAGTGACCCACCATCTCAAAGAGGCTACTGCAAGATTGTCCTAACCAAAATGGCGTCTCAGGAGAGGGTACTTTTGCTAACTGTGCTTGCATACCTACAATTTGTGGGTCTAAGTTCACCTGAGATTCTGTAATGCAAGGTTTGTCAATGACATTTTATTATGTAAATACAATAGTATCAATTTAAAAGCCCATCTGAGGCTACATCTTCACTGCCAGTTCTTCCAGCAGAAAATATGCTAATGATAGCATAAGTCGCAATCTCA